AGGGGCAGCGAATACGAGACAACGAGAAAACGAACCAGGGTCAGAGAAACCGAGACCACGACCCGGGGGCCGAGAAAACGAGAAAACGAACCATGGCCCGAGAAAACCAAACCACGACCCAGGGACAGAGAAAACGAGGATTCGAAGCAGAGTCCGAGAAAACGAGACCAAGACCCAGGAGAAACCGAGAAAACGAACCAGGGTCCCAAAAAACAAACCAGGGCCCGAGAAAACGAGACCACAGAACCACGACCCAAGGGTAGAGAAAACGCGAAAACGAAGCAGGGTCCGATAAAACGAGACCACGACCCAGGGGCCGACAAAACGAGACAACGAGAAAACAAACCAGTGCCCGAGAACACGAAACCACGACCCAGGAGCCGAGAAAACGAGACAACGAGACAACGAACCAGGGCCCGAGAAAGCGAGAACACGACCCAAGGGCAGAGAAAACGAGGAAACGAGGAAACGAACCAGGGCCCGAGAAAACGAAACAAACACCCAGAAGCCGAAAACGCGAGACAATGAACCAGGGTCCGAGAAAACGAGATAACGACCCAGGAGCCGAGAACACGAGAAGACTAGAAAACAAACCAAGGTTCGAGCAAACGAGACCACGCCCCAGGCCGAGAAAACGCGAATATCGCTCCTAGAACACGAGACCACGGCCCAGCAGGGGCCGAGAAAACGAGAAGACGAGACAAGGAATCAGGGCCAGAGAAAACGAGACTACGAATCAGGGGCCGAGAAAACGAGGTAACAAAAAACAAACCAGCATCCGAGAAAACGAAACCACAGCCCAGGGGCCGAGAAAACAAGAGAACGAGAAACCAAACCAGGGTCCGAGAAAACTGTTCCACGCCCCAGGCGCCGAGAAAACACGAAACGAGAACACGAACCAGGGTCAGAGGAAACGAGACGACGACGACGACGACAACGACGGCGGCGGCGGCGGCGGCGACGACGACGACGACGACGACGACATCTACGACGACGGCGACGACGAAGACGAAAATGACGACGACAACGACGACGACCTTGGACCTCGAATTCCGCTCAAGCGTGTCCACGGACCGCTCCCGGTGTCCATCCGACGCGAGTTGTCATTCCGATTGGATTCCAAACAAGCTCGGCGCGCAAAAACGGACCCCTCAAACCGAAAGCACGGAAACACCTCCTGGAACCTCAATGTGCGAAGGCCTGCCCACTGGCCCGCGCCTACAACGCGCGCCGCGCCGCGCGCGCGCGACCCCGATAGCGAACCCCCGCGTGACCCCGGCTGCAAATGGGGGGGGGGGGCAGCTTCCGAAGCCCCCCCCCCCTCTTTAGACAGTGGAGCCCGGGCATACCTCTGGCCCCGAAAAGGGAGGAAAGGGGGGGGGAGTAGCTTCGAAGCCCCCCCCACACTTTAGCCAGGGCCCCCCCAGCTCAAAAATGCTTCCAAAAGGGAAGGGGGGGGGTACCTTCCGAAGCCCCCCCCCCTTTGTAAAGGGGAGCCCTGGCTTACCTCTGGCCCCGAAAAGGGAGGAGGGGGGGCGATGGGTAGCTTCGAAGCCCCCCCCCCTGGACAGGGCCCCCCCAGCTCAAAAATGCTTCCAAAAGGCCAAAAGAAAGGGGGGAGGGGGGTAGCTTCGGAAGCTCACCCCCCTTTTCGAAGGAAGGGGGGGGTTAGCTTGAAGCTGGGTCCCCCCTTTTTGTATTGAATTCCGTACGGGCGCGCTCTTTCGCATTGAACTGTATGGTCACAGTCCCGCATGCCCGCTTACGCGCCCAAAGGTGCAAGCCAACTCTTTCTCAAACATGGGGCATCGACAAAATTGCACGCGTAGGTGGCACTGGTCTTTCAAAAGGGGGGGGCCCTTCTTGCAGTGAAACGGAAAGCTGTTAGGGGACGTCGGGGGAGAGAACTTTTGAACGGGAGGATGTGCTGCAGCATCGCTACTCTTCCTCCTCCTCCTCCTCCTCCTCCTACTCCTCCTCCTCCACTAGACGAGCGCGTTCCACCACTCGCAAAGTGACTACTCGCAAATGGCCTGGATTCCCCGCGGAGGATCCACGATACAAGCTAGCAAAGCAGACATGTGTGTGTGTGTGTGTGTGTGTGTGTTCGGACGTCCGCGAGGAGGCACTTTGCGAGTAATGGAGAGCGCGCTCGGTGATCCTCAACTTCCTGCTCTCCTCTCCCCTCCCTGCTCTCCTCGGGAGCGGCCAAGAGGGGGGTGTCCAAGAGGGGGGGGTGCGAATCATGACCGGCGGCATGTGCGCGGCCCAGCGGGGGGGCCAGGGACGTCATGGAATAAGAAGAGGCGCCATGAAATCTGAGGAAATATCATGGCCCCCCTCTATGCCGCTCCCGACCCCCTCCCCCTCCCACCGTCCCTGCGGCGCCGGGAAGAGGCCCGCTCGGCGGCACGCCCTGCACGCGCACCGCGGCCAAGCGTCCGAGCCCACGACGGCGCGCACGCGCGCGGGGGGCGGGGGCGGGGGGGGGGACGAGGGGGGCGGGAGGCAGCGGGGGCCCACGAACAGCGGACAGGACGGAGGGGGGAGGTGCGGGGGGAGGGAGAACTGGGGGGGGGGAGGAAGGGGTGGGGGGGGCCCCAGACGGCTCCAAGAAGGAGTCCAGAGGGCACCTTTTCGAGCCTTCGGTCCCAAGACGCCCCCAGCATGCCCCCAAGAACACCCCAAGAGGCCCTCAGGGACCCCCAAGAGAACTTCAAAGGCCTCCAAGAAGCCCCCAGGAAGCCCCCAAGAGGCCCCCGAACCTGGCCCACGATGCCTCGAGGCGGCCGGATATGGCCTGCAGACAGGCCCAGATGCCACCAAAAGACCACAAAAGAACACCAAGAGGTACGATAACAGCAATGAAGCAACAGGAATGATGTCGAGCGCCGTGTCATGATTCGGACAAACCTCGTGAAATGCAGACCTGGAGGCGCAATCGTTTATATAGGGGTCGGCGGATGTGGCGTAAGCCTATAGAATCGATCGGTAGATCGAAAGCACAATCGGTAGTGAGATCGATCATGAGATCGATAGAGGGATCGATGGTGAAATCGAAAGTGAGATAGATTGTGAGATCGATGATGGAGTCGAGTGCAAAATCAATCGTGAAACGGATAGTGAGACCCTGGAACCTCCTTATCACCCGAAGGGGGGTCGTGAAATTATGTCTGTATCGGAGGTTGGGGGGTGAGACCGAAGTGAAACGAAGAGCCCCCCACTGCGAAATCGATTTCGGCTTCGTGTCGTGCGCGCAGGCGAGGCGAAGCTGCGTGGGAAGGCGAGAGGACTGATCCCGCCCTGGCCGGGGCAAAACCGGGCTCAATGTCTCTGCTCCCCCTGGTTGGCCGGCGGTTACCTGGGGGTGTCCCGCCGGTGTCCCGTGGAGGTCCGTGGTGTCCGGAGGTGTCCCGTGGCGCGGTGCCCCGTGGTGTCCCATGGTGTCCCGTGGAAGTCGATAGTGAGATCGATTGGGTGAGATCGACAGCGAGATCGGTGGTGAGATCGGTAGTGAGATGGGTAGTGGAATCGATTGTGAGATAGATCAATCGTTGAGACCGGAAGACAGCGGGAGGTCGATAGTAAGATCGATCGTGACGTCCATCCTGAGATCGAGAAGTATATGGAGAGTGAGATAGATAGTGCGGTCGGCAGATAAGCTGAATGTGAGATTGATAGTGAGGTCGACTGCGAGATCGATAGATAGTGAGATCGACGGCGAGATCGAAAAAAATAAAACATGTGAGATCGATAATGACATCAAAAATGAGAACAGCGGAGAGGTCGATAGATAAGATTATCGGTTGACAGACGGAGAACGATAATGGGATTGATAACGATTTGGCGTGGTGTCTCGTGACTCCCTGCGGCATGTTACGTTCATAGTCTGTTTTCCTATAAAAGGAAGAGCGCAATGGCCAATACATGTCTACTGGTTCTGCTAGTTGCCCGGAAGTTTTGAGATGGGTGTCCCGAGTCAAAGGTAAACTTTCAAACATATTGTCCTGCACGATCGTAGTAGAACTTCAAGAAAATAGGGGCCAAGCAAATAAACGTCAACTAGACCGATAATGAGATCGATAGTGCGATCGATGGCGAGATCGATAATTGGTTCGGCTGTGGTGTCCCGTGGTGCCTGGTGGTGCCCTGAGGTCTTGCTTGTTCTCATACTGTTCTTCCAAAAATAACGAGCGCGCGGGGGCAAATAAATGCCACCTGGTTCCGTACCCCTAATGTCTCGGTGACTTGTAGTGGGATCGAGCGTGAGATCGAGTGCGAGAGAGGTGGTGCTATCGATCGACAGGTCGATACGTAGACAGAGAGCGAGGTCGATAGTGGGATCGACCGATAAATGGATGGTGACGCAGGGAATGAGATCCATAGTGGGGCCGATCGTGGGGTCTACAGTGTGGTCGATAGTGGTGACCTGTGGCACCCTGTGGTGTCTCGCGGGGAACTTAATGCCACCTCCAGCAACGGAGATGGAATTGATTTGCCTGCGACTGCGATGGTGAAGCAATCACCGGTGTGAGTGCACCATCGCGGGTGCGTTGTGCTGCTAGCCAGACTCTGTCAGCCAGAGTTGCTTGACGCACGCTACTCTCGCGCGCTGCTCGTTTGCGATGCCCCGCTCATCACTAGCATCGCCTGCACGCAACGCCACTACCGCATGCATTGTCACTAGCATCGCCGCCGTGGGTCGCCATCACGCATTGTCACCAACATTGTCGTCGCGCGTCGCCAACTTGTCGCCACCAGCGTCGTCACTATCACCGCCAATGCAGTTGTCATCAGTTGCCCCCTCCCCCCCACAGCCTCCTAATCACCCGAAGGGTGGTCGTATAGGTATCTACACAAAGAGAGGGGAAGGAAGAGAGAGAGAGAGAGAGAGCGAGAGAGAGAGAAACAAAAAAGAAAGGCGAGGGGGAGAGAGGGAGGGAGGCTGAAAGAGAGAGAGAGATAGAGAGACCAGTTCGTGCGAGGGTATGTGCGCACGTCTAGGCATCATCACCACTGCTTGCAGCACTGGTTGTTCTTCTTCGCTGTGCGGTAGAACTGCACGGAGGTGTTGGAGAGATCCTCCCAAAGCCATCCCGCCCATGCTTGCTAAATCTTATTCGTAATCAACTGTCTTGGCCAGGCCCATCCTGGACCTGGGGCTGGTGCATATATCACCCAGGCCCAAGACAGATGGTTTTCCCCCCTTGGCGAACTTGAAACCAATGGTGGGTTGCAACTCGCTGCTTGGAAGATAGGACGGGGAAGGGCTGACCAGACACATGTTGTTCAGACTCATGGTAACCAGAGAAGTCATGCAGGCGCAAACAGTGGACGACCGAGAGATGCGATGCAATCAAATGGTGTGGTGGGGCGGTGGCGTGGAGGAGAAGCGAAACGGAGAGGAGAGGCTGAAATGACCGTGGAAGAGAAGCGAACACGGAGCAGAACGGTGCACCGCAGAAAGAAATCGAACGGCGAGCCCGGCTCCGTGGCCCGTCTCCCTCCAAAAACTCCCCCTTTTCCTCCGTTCCCGTCCCCCCCCCTCCTTGCTCTTCTGCATAAGCTGGTCCAGGGACTCGCCTCGCTTCAGGAGGTCGTCCATGGACTGCATCACGGTGCCCTTCACGTCCTGCGAGCAAACACGATTGGAAAGAGGAGGAGGGCTTCGCCGAGGAGGAGAAGAAGAAGAGGAGGAAAGCAGAAGGGGGGGTAAGATGATGAGGAGGAGGAGGAGAAGAGGAGGAGGACCATATTACACCGAATCTGCACCAGCGATGATGCACACCCACCCTCTCGTCCCAAGCCCCTTCCCCGAGGTCCTCTCAAGCATTCGTACCCACGGCGGGAGGCACCCCCTTTGGCAGACGAGCGCCCCGTGCGCGCGCCATTCAGGCAAGACCACGTTTCATAAAGAACCCGCCTTCCGTTTTTGAACCATCGGAAATTCAAACAGGCAGGGTCATGCGACCCACGGAAATGTGATAGCCGCGTGGTGGAGAGGATCTGCCCTTCCGCTGCGCGCGAGCGCTGCACAATCCTACAAGTCTGCCTCTCAGCTCGACAATCTCGCAAGCGAGAACCTCCTCAAACAAGGGAGCCGCCATCCACCCGTGCAACTGTTGCAACACACAGTAGCCTCGCGACGCGAATGTGCAGAAAACACCAACAAAAAAAACATCTTTAAACGAAACCGTCCTCGATCCGTGTAGCTGACCTTGTAGCAACGAGTGCGCGCGGCGCCAGGGCTACAACAACATGTCGAAACAAGTGTTCGCGGAGCCATGGGGAGAGCCAACATTTGAAAAAACGCCTGCGCTTTATGCTTATGCAATTGTGAGAAACTGAAGTTTCAAGCCTCGCTATTCACAGCGCGAGGGGGGTCCATATACAACGAGAGGAGAGGGACACTTAAAGGGCCTTGTGAGGAGGGGACTTGAGACGGCAGGCTGCAGTGCAGTATCGTTGATGCATTCTAGATTGACGCTGTTCCTCGCTCCTCCTCCTCCTCCTCCTCGCCCACCCTCTCCTTCTCATCCAACTCTTCCTTCCTGCTCCCCCCGTTTACGTCTCCCGCCCGTCCGCGTCCTCGTCCTCGTCCTCCTGCTCTCGCTCATGCTCCTGCTCCTCCTCCTCCTCCTCCTCCTCTTCCTCCTCCTCTGGTCATGCTTCCCTCTGCCGCCTCCTCCGTCGCCTGCGCTCTCCGCCACCCCTTCCTCCATACTCCCCCACCACATCTTCTTGAGCAAGGCCTCCAAGACTGCCTCCAGCACCCAGAGGACAACTTCGAACGCTCGTCGATCTCCAAGACGTGCCACCACGAGACATCAGTGGGCAGTTTGCGAACCGGATGCGCCCACATAACACATGCGGCGGCACAGCCCCAACGTCCACCAGCCCGCCCGCGCGCGGTGGGGAACAGGCTCGACAGCGCAACTGGAGAGAGAGCTGCTCGAACGAGCGGAGGCATCAGTGCACTATCCAAGAGGGCCACCACCGTCGACACGCTGTGGCGTCGCGAGAAACATCCCGAACTCCCCACAACAAATAATCCGCTCCATCAGACGACACTCTTAGCGACATCCTCACACTGCCGTGCCGAGTCGCACATCTTGTGCACTACGGGCTCGCCTTCGCCCTGCAGGGCCAACATCTCCAGAACACGTCCCACCAAACAACAAAACATAGCTTCAACGTGAAACGCCGGCGGTCCCCCAAAGCCCGAACACACAAGACAACTACGACCACCTGCGTCCGTCCCTCCAGGCTTCCTCCTCCCATGATCCCACGAAAACTCGCCTCAACCCTGCCACGAACCGCGCGACCAGCCGCGGGCACGTTAGCGCGACAAAATGCTGTTCATGTCATCGCTCATCATTGCGATCATCACCGCTGTCACCATTACCAGCGTCACTAATGATCATTTCCGTGAGCACCAATCTCGTAAGCATTGCAAGTGCCACCAGAACGGTCAGCACCAACACCATCATCACCACTGACACCGTCATCAAGGGACCCCAACTTCGCGCTTCGGGCTGCGCGAAGCGTGAAGTGCGAATAACTTCGCGCTCTCGCGCCGCCTCCCAGGGGAGAAGAGGAGGATGAGGAGGAATCGGAGCCGAACCGCGAAGCGCGAAGCGCGAATAACTTCGCGCCCTCGAGGGCGCCCTTGATCATCATCGTCGTCGTGACTAAAATTTTCGTCGTCGCCTGCACCATCGCCCTCCCCCTCTCCGGCAACCCAGGCCTCTGCAGTTCGCGCCCCGCGCTGCGTGAAGCGTGGGTCCATCCGCTCTCTCGCGCCGCCCCCAGGAGAAAGGCAGCTCTTCCACACGAGACCGCGAGGGGGGGCGCGGCTATCTCTTTGCTCCACCGTGGGTGCGCGATCGACGCCGCATAGACGCCCCTGCACACGCCCCTGGCCTCGCGAGGGGCCGGAGTGGCGGGGGGGGGGGGGGCGAGTGATCTGTGGCCCGCGCGCTGCTCCCGCCGGAGCGCAGGGCGGGGGGGGGCAGCAGCAGGGAGACGGCTCGTGCCCGAGAGCCTGAATCCAACACACTGGCCATCCCCTGTGTTTTTTTTTGGTTTCGTGCGTGGTTTTTTCGCCGTAAGATCAAGGATGCTCCTCGATGGTCCTCGCCGAAGGAAAAATGCACACGCCCAAGCGATGCCAAGCACATGCCTCGTGAGATCCGGACGCTTACGCCCGCTGGATTCCGCCTGCGCCGGCTCCCGCCCGCGGACCCGCCGACGCCTCCGCCGCAAGAAGCACGCCGACCGATCGATCCCTCGAGGGCGAGGCCCCCTCCGGCACGCCTCGGGCGGACCGAGCGCAGATCGCCGAGCGATTTTGGTGAGCTTCTCGAGGAGGAGGAGGAGGAGGAGGAGGAGGAGGAGGAGGAGGAGGAGGAGGAGAGGAAGGAACGAGGAGGAGGAGGAGGAGGAGGAGGAGGAGGAGGAACGGGAACAAGGAGGAGGAGGAGGAGGAGGAGGAGGAGGAGGAGGAGGAGGGGGAGGAAGAAGGCGCATCGTCGGCTCCGCTCCTCCAGATCCTTCTCGATCTTCGTGAGCTTGTCCGCCTCGCGCCGGGCGGGGCCGGCAGCCGCGGGAGGGGGCCACGCCCGCAGGGCTTCCCCGGAGGGAGGGCGTGGCTTTGAGGAGGGCCTCGGGGGGGGGCGTGCAGGAGAGAGAGGAACGAGCCGACAGGCCTGAGATCTCCGACGTGCGGTCGGCACGCGGGTCCTCGCTTCGCGGGCACGCCTCCCTCGAACTGGGGGTGGTGCTGATGCGACCTCCAGATGGATGTATACAATAGATGGAGAGAGAGAGAGAGAGAGAGAAAGAGAGAGAGAGAGAGAGAGTTAGAGAGAGAAAGAGAGAGAGAGAGAGAGAGAGAGAGAGACCGCCGCTTTACTCTGGAAAAATCCCCCCCTCTTCCTCCGGAACCCGGGGTCCCCCCCCACCCTCCGAAAATCCCCCTCTCCCCCCTGCTGGACCCCCCCCCCCCCTCCCCTCCCCCTGCGAACCCCCCCCCGACTCCCCTAACCCCCCCCCCTCCCCCTCGAAAACAGCGGGGGGGTCACTACCGGTTCGACCCCCCCCCCCTCGAAAACCGGAGGGGGATCACTACCGGTTCGAACCCCTCCCCCACCCCCTCACCGCCAGCAACTCCACTCTCCCCACTTTCTCCACGGCCCCAACCACTGCCCGACTATCCCCACTGTCCCACTGACTCCTGCGCTGTCCCACTAAGCCGTCCCACTATTCCCACCACTGTCCCCACTGTCCCCAACACTGTCCCCACTGTACCTCTGTCCCATTGTCCCACCGCCGTCCTCGCCACCGCCCTCACCACTGTCCCCACCACCACTGTACCCTCCACTGTCCCACTGTTTCCACCACATTCCCACTGTCCCCACACCACTGTCCCCACCACCACCGTCCCCACCACTGTCCCACTGTCCCTACTGTTCCCACCATTGTCCCCACCACTGTCCCCACCACTACCGTCCCCACCACTGTCCCACTGTCCCCACCACTGTCCCGCCGTCCCCTCACCACTGTTCCCACTACCACCGTCCCCACCACTGTCCGCACCCCCCCCCTGGTTTTCAGGGGAGGGGGGGTCGAACCGGTAGTGACCCCCCCCGGGTTTCGAGGGGGGGGGGTTCGAACCGGTAGTGACCTCCCCCCCCCGTCTTTTCATGATGGACTGGGGGGAGGGGGGGAGGGGTTCGAACTGGTAGTGACCCCCCCCAGGTTTCAGGAGGGGGGGGGGAGGGGGTTCGAACCGGTAGTGACCCCCCCCAGTTTTCCGCCAGCTGCGGTAGAATTCGCTCTTTCATATAATATAGAGAGAGGAGAGAGAGAGAGAGAGAGAGTGATCCACCGCCGCTTTACTGTGGAAAATTCCCCCCCCCCCCCCCCCCCCTCTCCCCTCCAGAGCGTTTCCCCTCCCTCCCGAAAATCCCTCCCCCTGCTGGAACCCCCCCTCCGACCCCCCCCCTCCACCCGAGAACCGGGGGGGGGGGGTCACTACCGGTTCGAACCCCTCCTCCCCCCAGAAAACCGCGGGGGGGGTCACCCGCCCTCGAAAACCGGGGGGGATCACTACCGGTTCGAACCCCCCCCTTCCCCCCCTCGAAAACAGCGGGAGGCCACTACCAGTTCGACCCCCATCCCTCGAAAACTGGGGGAGGGTCACTACCCGTTCGAACCCCTCCCCCCCCCACGCTCACCTCCAACAAATGATTCCAAGGTCCCTACCACCGTCCGCACCACATCCCCACTGCTGTCCACAGCACCACTGTCCTCACTACCGCCGTCCCCACTGTTCCAACACCGTCCCTACTGTCCCCACCAGTACCCCCACCACTGTCACACTGTCCCCACTGTCCCCACTACTGTTCCCACCATGGTTCCACTCTCCCCACTTTCTCCACGGCTCCAATCATTGTCCAACTGTCCCCACTGTCCCACTGTCTCCGCCGCTGTCCCACTGTTCCCACCACTGTCCCCACTGTCCCCACCACTCTGTACCTCTGTCCCATTATCCCACCGCCGTTCTCGCCACCGCCCTCACCACTGTCCCCACCACCACTGTACCCTCCACTGTCCTACTGTTTCCACCACGTTCCCACTGTCCCCACACCACTGTCCCCATCACCACCGTCCCCACCACTTTCTCCACTGTCCCCACTGTTCCCACCATTGTCCCCGCTGTCCCCACCAGTGCCCCCACCAGTGTCTCACTGTTCCCTCTCCCCCCACCATTGTCCCACCACGGTCCCGCTCTCCCCACTTTCCCCACGGCCCCCACCACGGTCCCACTGTCCCCTCTGTTCCCACGACTGTCCCACTGTCCCCGCCGCTGTCCCACTGTGCTGTCCCACCGTCTCCACTGTCCCCATCACTGTCCCGACTATCCCCACTTTCCCACCACTTTCCCCACTGTACTACTGTCCCACCACTGTCCTCACCACCCCCTTCACCACTGTTCCCACCACTACCGTCCCCACCATTGTCCCACTGTCCCCACCTCTGTCCCGCTGTCCCCTCACCACTGTCCCCACCACCACCGTCTCCACCACTGTCCGCACCACTGTCCCACTGTCCCCGAACCACTCCACCACCACCGTTCCCACCACTGTCCCAGCATCCCACCATTGTCCAACTGTCCCGAGGAGCGGGAATCGTTTGCCGGCGGCGAAGGGGGGGGGGGTTCGAACGGGTAGTGACCCCCCCACCGGTTTTCGAGGGGGGAAAGGGAAGGGCGTTCCAACCGGTGTAGTAGTGACCCCCCGCGGTTTTCGAGGGGGGGAGGGGTTCGAACCGGTAGTGGCTCCTCCCCCTTTTCATGATGGACTGGGGGTGTGGAGGGGTTCGAACCGGTAGTGACCCCCCCCGGTTTTCCGGAGGGGGGGGGGTCGAACCAGTAGTGACCCCCCCGGTTTTCCGCCATCAGCGGTAGAACACGCTCTTTCATATAATGCAGTAATGCAACGTCGCATCAAGGGTTAGGTCGGGCACGGCCCCCCAGGCGGATTCTGGACGAGAAATAACAAATACTAGAGAAATGTTTAAAAATAGCAACGAATAGTGGAAAATTCGTCCCCGTACTATTTCTGACTATTTCTAAATTTTCCTTCTGTAGAGGAACAGGCCCGACTTAAATCAAGGGCCCGATGTCGCCATCGAGCTATCACGCCCGACTGCAAACCGCCCCCACGCAGAGGGACCTTGGGCGGCGCGGCACTCGCGAGCTGGAGGAGGGGGAGAGCAGGAGGAAGGTGAAGGATAGTCCGAAAGAAAAGTGGCATGCCAACTTGCGTGATGGTTTCTGACACCGCGTGGATCGTTCACCCGGGAACGATCGCCGCACTCCGCAAGTGCGAGTCGTTCGACATCGGCCGATTCCGCCTGGGGTCGCCGCCGCGGCGATACACGGCGAACCTGCTGTGGGGAAAGACGATGGGGAATAGGATGAAAAACTTGTCCCTTTCATCTCCCTACTAATCGGAATGGCTCTGCAGGAAACATACTGGAGGGATTCATCATATTCGCCAGCCCTCCAAGAGCACTCGAACACCTGCAGAAGGTAACCGAAGACATCCGACAATCTCCTTGTCTTCCGCCCACGTCCACAACCACTTCATCCTCCCTCCGCCTCTCACTCTCATCTCCGTCTCTGTGACATGTTCCCCCTCCACCTTTCCCCTCCACGTCTTCCTCCTCCTCCTCATCCGCATCCGCCTGCTTCTCCTGTCGTGCTCCTTCCATCCACCACCACCTCCTCCTCTCTACTCTCTCCTTTCTCCTCCAGAACCTTCTCCTCGTCCTCTCCATTATCCCGCTGCTCCCCCTCACCACCTCCTCCTCCTCCTCCATGCTCCCCCGCCTCCTCCATTCCTCCTCTTGATAAACACCCTCAGCCATTTTGGCTCCAGCTGGCTCGGGCCACCCCCTCGCTCAAGCGGTCTCGCCGCTGGGCCGACGTGCTGTCTGGAGCGCGCCGCGCTGGTCGAGGAGATGCCTGGCTTGGGGGGACGGCTGCAGAAGGCCTGCAGTGCGGTCGATGGCCGCTCGCGCGCGCTCCGCTTCGTGTGGAAAGGCCTGGGCAACAGGGTGACTACGTACCAGACTGCACCAATCTAACCCGACCCCTCCCCTCCCTCCCTCCCTCGCTCCCTCCCTCCCTCCCCCTCCTCCTCCTCCTCCCTCCCCTCCCCCTCCTCCTCCTCCTCCTCCTCCTCCTCCTCTCCTCCTCCTCCTCCTCCTCCTCCTCCTCCTCCTCCTCCCTCCTCCTCCTCCTCCTCCTCCTCCTCCTCCTCCTCCTCCTCCTCTCCTCCTCCTCCTCCTCCTCTCCTCCTCCTCCTCCTCCTCCTCCTCTTCGTCCTCCTCCTGGGGGGGGTACGGATTCCACATGTGCTCTTTTCAATGTTCCTCAACGCGCTCCCTACTGGGCATGGAGGGCAAATTGGGGCCTTCGGATTGGGTTGGGGTGGTTTGGTGGGTGGTGACAGGGCCATGCCCCTGATCGGCGGCGAGCCCGGGGGGGGGGGAACGGAGAAGGGGCGGGCCTTCTCAGAAGGCTCGGAAATCCTCTTCCAGCCTGCCGAGATGTTCTCGAGGCCATCCGCGAAGACACAGACAACTTCTCAGAAGGCCAGAGGGCTTCTGAGGAGCCCAACCGCCTTATGAGAAGGCCTTCTCCTTCTCACCCTTCCCCCCTCGCTCGCCGCCGACCTCAGGAGGGAGCTGGGGAAACCCAAAGGTACCGATACCGCTGCTCCACGGCCCTCTCCTGGGGTGCGTTCTGACCAGGATTTCGGAGCGAATCCAGCGGTGGCGACGAGGGCCTCCCAGGAGGCCGACAACACGGGTAGCGGTATAGGTACCTGCTCCGCCTTTCCGCCTTCAAGGGCCAGGCCCCTCAGGAAGGAGCGCGCGCTTCAGACTGACAGGTCGCTCGAGGGCGAGGCCGTGCACTCGGCGAGATGACCATTGAGCACGGACCGATCGTCGCGTCATTCCTACAGGCCTACTACGACATGTTCTTAGCAGCCAAAACTTTTCGAATCACGCAAGCAATCTTCTCAGAACATAAAGCCCGATGTGTGAAAACAAGACAGTCTCAGCCAGACATGTTCCAATAACATTTCGTGCAGGTGAGCGATTTCTTATTCGGCGTTTTGACATTGGGCGGAACGGCGGGGGGGAGGGGGGGGTCTGGCTCCGGACCTCTGCTTACTGCGACCGTTTGGGACAGTGCGTCCTATGGGGGAGATTCCACCTGCTCGAAGCAGGCGCCAAAAACAGCCAAGATCTCCAGGGGGGGGGGAGGGGGGGTGCGACGGGCCCGCGCCGATCGGCTAACAATGAATGGAAT